AATGAAATTGACTAGCGACGGAGGATAGACTTTGAGTGGTGAGTATTTTGAAATTGTTTCATTTATATTTCTATTTCATTTTAATTTTTTTTTAATGATTTACAGTTGTCAATGTGAGTGGAAAAAATCAGAAGTGGCATTTTATACAGGAAGTGAGAAAAGCGGTCGCTCCACGGCAGAGAATGGCAAGCCCTCTGAGTGTATTTTCGACATTATGAGGAGATTGTGGTGCACATAATCGTCCAACTAACCAATTTTTTGATGAACTTTTGAAGAAAATAGATTGGTTATAGATATTGTAAGGTCTCTTCATCATGGTTCTACTCGTTCCACCTCAAATATTGCTACTGTAAGTGAAACAGTAGCCAAGGAACCGTTGGGACTTTCTTACGGCACATTATGGCACTTGGACTTACACCTGCATCCATATTAGGTTGTCAAATATCTGCCTTCCCCTTTTTTGTCTTTTGAATTTCGCGGCTATGTACAAAGCGCTACAGGCAGCGCTCGTATCTGGCAACACTTGACATAACCTACAAAACAACGCTATGCATGATTAGTTTGGATATTGCGTTCAACAGTTATAGACGTGTAAATATGGAGTTCACTAACGCCGAAATTCGCGCTATTTTAAAGTTTTCCTTCGTTAAAGGCAAATCCGCTAGAGAAACGTTCCGTGAGATTAATGGTGTTTTGGGGGATGGTACTCTATCACTTCGAACCGCGGAGGAATGGTTTCGACGATTCAGAGCCGGTGAAAACGACACCATGGATAAGCCAGCCGGCGGAAGACCTGTGACGACAAATACCGATCAAATCATGGAATACATCGAGTTAGACCGGCATATGGCATCTCGTGACATCGCCCAGGAGATGGGAGTTAGTCACCAAACCATTTTGAACCATCTGCAGAAGGCTGGATACAAAAAAAAGTTTGATGTTTGGGTGCCGCATAATTTGACGCAAAAAAACCTTCTGGACCGAATCAACGCCTGCGATATGCTGCTGAAACGGAACGAACTCGACCCATTCTTGAAGCGGATGGTGACTGGCGACGAAAAATGGATCACATACGACAATATCAAGCGAAAACGGTCGTGGTCGAAGGCCGGTGAATCGTCCCAAACAGTGGCCAAGCCGGGATTGACGGCCAGGAAGGTTTTGCTGTGTGTTTGGTGGGATTGGAAGGGAATCATCCACTATGAGCTGCTCCCATATGGCCAGACGCTTAATTCTACCATCTACTGCGAACAACTGGACCGCTTGAAGCAGGCGATCGACCAGAAGCGTCCAGAATTGGCCAACAGGAAGGGTGTAGTGTTCCACCAGGACAACGCCAGACCACACACTTCGTTGATGACTCGTCAGAAGCTACGGGAGCTCGGATGGGAGGTTTTATCGCATCCACCATATAGCCCGGACGTAGCGCCAAGTGATTACCACCTGTTCCTGTCCATGGCGAATGCCCTTGGTGGTGTGAAGTTGAACTCAAAAGAGGCTTGTGAAAAGTGGCTGTCCGAATTCTTCGCAAATAAGGAGGGGGGCTTCTACGAGGAACGTATTATGAAGTTGCCGTCTAGATGGAAACAGATCATCGAACAAAACGGCGCATATTTTAACTAAATCCGATCACTGTAACACTTTTTATAAAGCATTGAATGAAGAGCAAAAAAGCGAAAGGGAGATATTTGACAACCTTATATAAAGTCCAGTTCATACAACAACTGAAGCCCGTTGATCATTCACAACTTCGTACATACGCCGATTGGAGGCTTGAACAGCAGGCAGTAAACAGCAACGAGGCACATTTCTCACTTGAATGATACGAAAATAAGCAAAATTGTCTCAATTCGAGCGGAGAGAATCATAAAGCAATTGAAGAGAGATCATTTCCTCGAAATAACTGTTTGAAAGCGTTCTTTTGTCTGATCCTTACTTCTTTCGGCGAATCGATTACTGTCACTTCGGTGTGTTATAGTCGTTCGATAAGGTTTTTTTTGGCCCGCAATTCAAGGACACGACTCGAACATTAGGTGGCTCCACACAAAATGTTGCCACATGTCATAGGATACGAGCGAATATGGCTTTACTGTGACAGCTCTGGTATAGTCTATGCTGATTGGCGATCGAGATCAAGCGATTGGCGACAGTTGGACTTTTTTGTGAGGCTACGCTAAACGCCGTGTTTATGTGGATAAATTTTTAGCTCTTCAGCACTTGGAAACCAATATTCGTCAAGTTAGGCCTAAGATGCCGTCCAACATGTGCCAAAAAGTAGTTGAAAAGTATCTCGAATCAAAACTTGAGAAAAAGGCCTCAAATGCATCAAACCCGAAGTGGAATCAGTTTAAAAATGAGAAATGGAATAAACAAATAATCAGCAGTGGAATTAAATTGGAAATCAGCAGTGGAATTTAGTTATGGAGCCAGCAGTTTATTGTTTTAATGAATAAAAAATATAAAACAATTTTGATTTTACTGTGTTCTTCAGCTAAATGCGCTATAATTTTTTTACTTCCAACAATTTTTTATTTCTGCTGACTGCCTACTTTATATCAAGAAATTACTGTAAAGCCTTGACAATAAAAGCTTATAAAAAACAATCACCAGAGATACACAAGCAATAACCGTTAGCAAAATTTCTGTGGGAAAAACCAGTTAATCATCTAATTCGCTCGTCAATCTCAAGCCAAATCAAGCATAGAAGATAAAGGGTTTCCCGTCACAGTACCCCTCAAATGCTATCAGCATGGACATCTCATAACCGTTATTATCTCCAAACATCCGACACATTGTGATTATAAGTAAATCCTGCCCACTTCGCATTACAATACCAAGAGCACACATAGATAATTAGTTTTAGTGATACGAACCTTTTGGGCTGACGACTTTCGAACAGCCAACGGGCAATTAGGATGCACACTTTTCCGCCTACTCTACCTTTACCGCTACCGCTGCCGCTGCTGCTGCGTAAGTGTGCAGCGCGTTATGTCAATTTTTATTGCTAAGCCAATTAAGTGGAATATTTTTCCAATTTTATGTTTCCTTTTTGGTTACTTCACTTCCCGTTTTTTGCTTTTTTTTTTGTATTTCAACTTCTTGCTACTGTTAAAATTTTTGACTGTGGCATTGCATTCGTTGCCACAAATTGCGTGCGCAAGTACCACTTTGCTTCGTGCGTGTGTGGGGCGGAGGAGAAGCGCATCAATATCAACAGCAGCAGCAGCAGCAGCAGCAGCGTCATCAACCTTCAATGTGCAGCATCACTGCATGCAATTATCATAATTTGTTTGACACGTGACATTAAAGGGGCGGGATGAGTAAAAAGGGAAAAAGGATATTTGTATCGGCGAGAAGAAGAGCGTGGTTTTGTTGGGTTTAAGTCTATGGGCGTGTGGTTGCGACAAATTGTAACAAATTGTAACAAACTGTACAAGAATTAAGCGAATGCGTAACGGTATCATTTTACAAATATGTATTTTTTAAGTATGCATAACAAATCCTTGGTTCTATGCAGAAACAGGCAGCCGTCTGGTTTCGGAGAGAGAAGTAAGAACGGTTCGTTTGTGGTTATTATGAAAATGTAAAGAAAAAACTTTATATTTATATCTCTTGCACTTTCTTTTAAAGCGACGGCATCCGAGAAAAAAGTAGCTAACCGCTAAGCTTGCTTTAAAGGCTATAAAACGATCAAAACAGAACAGAAGTCCACAACGTTGAATGGAGCATTTAAAAGAGATAACCGAATGCCTGATGATTACTTTGGCCAAAGCAATATTAGCACTTTCCAGGCTTTTAGGTTTCCAGATCAACCAGGAGACTCTGTCATCGAGGTTTGTCGAAGCTGGGAAATGATTAAAAGAGTCCTCTATAATGAGTTTTAAATATAACAAAAATATATATAATTCACGACTACAGTCTTATCATGCTAAAAGCTGCTAGAACAAACACTTACAGGAATCTAGCTTGATCAAAATGCATGCAGGAGACAACACTTATTGGCACCATGCGGTTGAAGGAAGTATAGAATATAAATTACAGGGTTTAGACTTCACCGCGCTGAGTGCGAGTAGCCATGAAGATACTAAATCGAGCCATTTGACTTGTTGTCGCTGCATCCTACCTTTTTATAAAGCCTTCCACGCTCCACTGTAAACATGCCAGTAAGTTGAAATGTCCTTGTAGTCCCCTACATAAGAGCTAAAACATGAGACAATATCTTCTTTATGCGATGCACTCGATAAGTATGCTGTCAATAAATCAATGATATGCATTTCTGACATTTTACCAAAGGAGTCATATGGCCAAGCATACATACGAGCATATAAAGAAGAGAATGCTGAAACTCGCAAGGACTTTAGTTTATCTATATATATAAATGTCTGCACCCAAAGTGAGATAGACGCAAAAAGTCTGCAAGGACTGCAGCAAATTCTTCATACAAACATCCAAGATAAATAAATAAATAAACTTGCACTTCCATAAACAGTACACCACATAACAACGTACATATGTACATACTCGTATACACATGTATATATGTAAGTACAATATAAGTCATCCTTCGACTTGTATAATGATGGAAACCTGGTTAAAAGTAATTTTTTGCAAAAAGAAAAAAATTTCCAACAACAACTGCTCACAACTTCCCACTTCACTTGGCTCTCTCACAGCCTGCCGGGCTTCATCTGCTTGTGGCGCCACACAGCTGAATTGCCATAAGCACTTGTTTTACTTAAGTACATCGATAATATTATTGCCATCTGGTTGTTGTTAATGTTGTTGCCATTTTCGCATTGCGCGTATGCAAATTGCTCGCGGCATTGTCACGCATTTACAACAAAAACATCAATTTTAACAGCGAAAAACATCAATAATGTCAACGCAAATGAAGTCCTTGCAACGGTTTTTTTTTTTGTTTTTCCCTTTTGGCTGCTGTTTTAACAATTGTTTATTATTTGTTGTTGCATTGTAATAAATATGCTTTATTATGTTGCTACTTACCGATCAATAATGACAGGATCTGATGGTGTCTCATTGCGGTTGCCACAACTTTTTTTATCACAACAGCGACTGGAAAGAAGAAGAAGAAGAGGGGAGAAAAAAATTATTGAAAATATTTTATGATAAAAGTGGATGTAAGCAAATGTCGACAACTGTTTAAATTAATTTTTTAAAGCAACAAAAAGCATCCGAGGTGGAATTTAATAAGTTTTAGAGTAGTATATATGTATGTATGTAACAAAGAGAGTAAGTTTGAAAAAATTAAATAAAATTAAGACATACAAAATTAATAAAAATGAAATAATAATCATTATTTATTATTGGATTAAATTAAACAGGATAAATAAACATATATAAATTAAAAAAAAGCAAGCCAATATAATGAATATATAACAATAAAAAATATCATAAAACAAAATTAACAAAAATAAAAAAAACAAAAAAAAAAAAACAAAATATAACTTAACTTAAAATAAATAAAATAATATGCATTAAAAAAGAAGATAAAATAAAATAAAATAAAATAAAAAGCATTAAAAAAGAAGATAAAATAAAATAAAATAAAATAAAATAAAATTAAATTAAATTAAATTAACTCAAATAATATTAAATAAAATATAACTAAAATAAATAAAGTCAACTAAAACAAAATAAAATAAATTAAAAATGAAACTAATTGAAATGAAATTAAATTAAAAAATTAAAATAAATTATTATAAAAGAAAATAAAATAAGGCAAATAATAAATCAAAGCAAAATAAAATAAAATAAAATGAAATTAAATAAGGTAAGGTAAAATGTTATAAAAAATGGTTCAATTAATCAAAAAAAATTTATAATATAGTAAAATTTCATAAAATAAAGTGATGAGGGGAAAACAACATAAAACGATTTAAAGAAATAATTAAATTAAAATGAATAACAAAGTAAAATAAAAAGAAAATTAATAACATTGAATAAAAAAGAAAATGAAATAATAAATAAATAATGAAAAGTAAAAAAGATAAATTAAGATGAATAAGAAAAGTAAATAATAAAGTAAGAAAAGCCTAAAAACAAAGCAAAATAAATAACTAAAATGAAACAAAAAAATAAAATAGTTGAATATAACAAAATTAACTAACTTAGAATGAAATATAAACAAATATAATAAAAAAATTAGATAAAGTAAAATAGTTTAAATGAAATGTTAAAAAAAAAATTAAATAATTAAAGTAAAATAAAATTTAATAAATCAAAATTTAATTTAATTAATTTAATTAAATAAACAATGTAAAATACAAAAAATTAAAAATTTAAAAGATTGAATAAAAATATAAATAAAATTAAATTAAAATAAAATAAAATTAGAGAATATAAAATAAATTTAAATAAAAATAAATTAAGCAAAATAAAATGATTAAAATAATAAAAAATATAAAAATATAATTAAGTTAAATAAAGTAAAGCAAAAAAGTTTATAATTTTATTAAAATAAATATATTATAAATAAAATAAAATAAAAATATATAAAATACAATAAAGCGAAATAAATTTGAATGAAATAAATAACTTTTATTAAAAAAAATATTTTAATAACAAAATCAATTAAAATAAAATAAAATAAGTAAAAGTGAAAATAAAATTAAGCGAAATAAATTTAAATTAAATGCATTAAAAATAAATAATTTTGTTTAAAATAAAGTATATTAATAATGAAATCAATTAAATAGAACAAAATGAATAAAGGAGAAAATAAAATGAATTAAAAAAAATTAAATAAAATACATTAAAAATAAATAATTTTTTTAAATAAAATATATTAATAATGAAATCAATTAAATTAAAGTGAAATCAATAAAAGTAAAATTAAAATTTAATTAAATACAATAATAATATTAAAAAGAAATGTAGTTCTAATTTTTTATATTTATGCAGAAGCCATATAAAGGATAAACGAATAAAAAAATACTTCAAAATTTTGAAGTAACTATATTTTCCATTGCTAAACCCCTCAAGCACAATGATAATTTTTTAGTCAATCAAGGACGACTGGAGCTGCATGAATACACACATACATACATACAGACATATGTATTTAAATGAAAGCGCCACCACGCCGAATAGATACAGTTAAAGCCGGTGAAAAGTCAACAACTCACCGTCAGTGCCATCAGCCATCACCATTTGGGCAATTTCACGTTACGCAGAATATAGACAAAATGAGGCTAGCGAAATATTTCTTCTTTTTTTCTGACATTTACAACATTTGCTTGTTATTGTTTTATTGCGTAAAAATATAGCGGCAAAGTCAGGCGGAATTATTTTGCGAGGCATTTTATCAGCAACAATCGAGCTAGTGCAAGGCAGAAGTGTGATTGTGTTGCTTGACTATAAAGCACCTTGTTGGAATGTGTGTGCCACACAGAACATTTTTTAATATTTTTACTTTGAAAAAAAAAAAAAAAAATGGTTCTCTGTAACTAGTTACCAATTAGTTTCAAATAAAATTATATATATAATAAAAAATGTGTTTTTTTTTTGTACAAGGCTAAGCTAATTGTGGGGACGTAAAACACTTTACACTAGTCCCAAGGTAATGAGTTGCAAACTAGTCTCACAGTATACTGGCTAAAAACCAAATAATATACAAAAAACCAACTCTGACTTAGATACTAATTTTATTATTAGAAAAAATTAAATTTAGTTCGCTTGCCCTACAGGGCGCTTTTTGCTATAAAATGGGCGAAATGCCAACCGATAAAGACGCCATTGTTATTTGCTTTATATCATATACAGCTGATGATTTCAAACACCGGTGCGCCATATTCGCCACCCAATCATCCACCCACTCATTCTCATCTCAACAACAAACCACCCACAATGGTCCAACTCAGTGGCCAACTTCTTCCACTACCCATTCTTGCTACTTTCTTTATGCACTCCATTATGTTATGCTCGGTTGGACATCCTTTATGTCGAACATCCCTTTTATTTGTATAGGTGTTGAACTGACACACACACACCCACACCCACACATACATACATACACACGCAATTTAGCTGAATTCGCTATAATGATGGCCACTCGAATGAAGCTCATCAGTCGTTTGGGGTAAAGAAGCTTTTTATTGCTGGATTTTCCTTTCTTTCTTTTAGGCGAAGCTTTTCTTTTTACTCAATTCTCTACAGTTAGTTCTCAAGTCAAATTTATTTTAGAAAAATAGTAAGAAATAAAGCGATTGAAGAAACTCATTCTAAAATTTTTGTTGACTTAAAATGAGAGCGTAAAACCAAAGAGGAAGAGGAAGAGAGAGAGAGATAGAGAGAAGTAATACAAAGCGCCGTATGTGTTCCTAAATAAAATGGAAAAACTGTGTAAAGCAAATAATTTTAGCATAAGACAAAAAATGAAATGTATGAAAATAAACCAAAATACCGTTAATACTTTTAGGGTCTCTTTCTAGTGGTGAAGTAATAATTTCTCGGCATTTTAGAGTGTGAAAAAGCAAAAATAACAAAAAATAGTGTACATAGAAAAAAGGAAGAAATTTGGCATGTTTGCTGAAGAAAAAAAAAATTGAATAAAATAATAAAAAGTGTAAAGAGAAGTAATACAAAGGCGAAAAGCAGAATTTGTAAACACTTGGGAATTGTGATTCTTCAACGAGGGATTATTGGAAGAGCATCATGTAACCACATACACACATACACATACAACTCAACATAGTGTGGGTTAAAACTCTCGCAATCATTACAGAGTTTCGGGTTTGACCAGTTTTTATTTTCGGGACCAAAAAAAAAAAAATTCAAAATAAATAATATATATTATTTTTTATCCAAATATGCCATTTCTTAATATTCTTACCATTTTAATATACATATGAATATATACAATATATATATGATATATTTCAAAACGGAAGGCAGCCTTTTCTAAAATGCACTGAGAATTAGACTGAACTCTATATATAAATTTCAATGCTGAAGTTGAAGAATCTGAACTACTTGAAGATTTCTAGAACTATTTTTTATTATTTTCTTTTTGCGTTTTGAAATCTCAATTTTTGCAAAAAATCTACTAATTAAAGTTTTTGTACCTTTATTTCGTTGCATTTAATTTTGCTAAATATTGTTTTATTTTAATTAATTTTTTTCATTTTATTTTTTTTTAATATTATTTATGTTGTTTAAAGTAATTAAACAAACTTATTTTATTATTTTATTTAATTAAATTTTTTTATTTTAATTAATTTTACTTTATATTATTTTAATTCATATTTTGTTTACTCTCATTTTATTTTTTTATTATATTTATTATTTTTGCATTATATTATTATTAAGATATTTAATTTAAGTCAATTTGCTTTAATTATTTTTTTATTTTTTTTATTACATACAACATTAGTTTACTTTATTTATTTATTTTTAATTAATTTTACTTTATAATATTTTACTTTTTATTTTGTTTTTTGTCATTTAAATTTATTTTTGTATTTTATTGTTATCATAAAATATTTAATTTGATTTACTTCGATTTAATTTAATTTTTTTTATTTTATTTTATTACATACTATTTTAGTTTAGTTAATTTTTTATTTAATTTCATTTGATTTTATTTCATTTGTTTTATTTCATTTTACTTTTATGCATTTTTTTATTATTATATAATATTTAGTTTAATTTAAATAATTCAATTTCATTAAAATTTTTATTTATGTTTTCTTTCATTTATGTATAATTAAGTAATATTTCATTTTCTATTTTATTTTATTATTTATTTATGTTATTTAATTTATATTATTTAAGTTTTTTACTTTATTTTGTTTTATTTCATTTTATTTTATTTATCATAGAACAATTTTAATTAATATTTTATGTTATTTCCATGCTATGCATTAATTTATTATTATACAACATTCAATTTAATTAAGATAATCTAATTTATTATTAATTATTTATTTATATTATTTTTTTATTTTTATTTTATTTTATTTTATTTTAAAATTTTCTTTTTATTAGTTTAATTTTCTTTAATTTTATTTTAAATTATTTAATTTATTTTAATTTATTTTATTTTAATTTGCTTTCCTTTATTTGACTTTATTTTATTTTACTTTACTTCACTACATTTCATTTTGTTTTATTTTATTTCATTTCATTTAGTTTTTTTAATTTTATTTTAGTTTAATTTTTTATTTTTATTTTTTTGTTGTTTTAGTTTATTTTATTTTATTTCATTTTCATTATTTTATTTTATTTTATTTATATTATTTTTTTATTTTATTTCACTTTATTTGATATTATTTAATTTATTCTTTTTATTTATTTATTTTCGGGATTTACAACACTATTTCTTTATGGCATTTGAAAGCACAATTCAAGAGCAGCCTAACTGATAAGTCAGTGTGGATTAACTGTAAGTTATGCAGTGAAATACTTTGCATTTTCAACAAAGATTATTGGCAAACCAAGAAAAACAGACACACATACATACATACATACATATATACACATTTAATAAGCGTGTAAAGGAAATATACTTCCAACTGACTGTAGAAGACTTTGCAAGCTTTTCAGAGCAAAGGTAGATTTGCCAAATGTTACCCAATATAATACATTCATACATACTTATATACGAGTGCTTGTATATGAATATGTATGTGTGTCTATTATAGTAGTAGTTGTGTGTTTTTAGGCAAATACTTGAGTCATCAATGAACTCGAATAAACTCGTTAGGTTCATCCTTATGTCTGTATGTATGTTAGTATATAAATATTTACATATCTACTTCTGTAAGATTGTTTGTTTTAACCGATTGCCTATCATAGCAATGATTCTGAGTGCAAATTTAAATGGCAGGTAAAAAAAAGTAAGAAAATTTTGAATAATTTTCCTTTTGACGCTGATCTGTGGTAATTTCATAAATTTTGTCTTCAAAATAGATGAAAGGAAGTTTTTTTTTATATGAAATATTACTCAAATAAATGCAAATCATTTGGAATCAATGAAAGCGTCTTAAATTATGCATGAATACCAAAGTCTTGTAGGTAACCTCCTCATTACCGAACTACTTGGCCTTACTGAAAAGAGCTCTGAGAGATATTGCTCTTTAATGACGCATTCAAAGTCTTCACAACGTGATTACTTTGGGAGACGTGCTGCCTTGGGGATGTCGAGGTACTTTCATTTGATGCAGGCAACTGTCCTATTCTACGCCGTATCGATCAGCGAGGCGATCAGCTTTAAGTCATTGTACGATGAGATCTTGTCCCGGGCTAAGTTTGATTGACGCTAGGATTTACTAAAATACATATATGCTCGCAGTCTACCTTTGCTTTGAGGTCCAAAAAGTTAATCTTCACGCCGTAGACTGTTCATCGTTCGTATATTTCCTCTTGTCGCGCTTAGAAAGCTAACTTAACAGCCCTGTACTGCATTCCCGACGGATCCTCTATGTAAATTTGGCTGAGCTTAAAAAATGAGCCTTGACATGGCTTGTAGACAAAAAAACTCTGTGCAGCCCAGCCCATTTTTTAGTTGACGTTTATATCAGCCTGTTTTCTTTCGAGGATTTCCGCTAGTTGCAGCTTTTCTTAAGGCTGCGGATACTCCAGCTGCCGTTATCAAAGGGCATGAGATAAAATATGGCGGTCCCGAACCCAGCGTACATGACTTTTAAAGTCTAGCAGAGTCCTCTCTAATATTAAGTTTAGAGAGAACTAGGAAAAATCGGCAAAATGCACGAATTGTCAGTCTCAGTTGCGCGTAGCATGGAGTTTTGCGCTCAAAACGTAGCGATGCTCACCATTACACTCCACCCCACCTCGTTACTTGTCTGGGGCTGTCCATTTGCGTGACAATTTAACGTAGCTAATCCCTGCAATGATGTTGTTCAAAAACGCTTAAGTGCAGGCGAGACTAATCTCAGCAGTAGTGGTCATCTAACGAGCGGTCCAGTTAACGAGCGGTCCAGTTACCGAGCTGTGTCGACGGGTTCGAGCTAGAGCTAAAGGAAGGTTTCAAAGGGCATGCAAAGAGGTGATTAGCGTTGCACACAGGACGTAAGTTAGGTATGTATGTCGTGGGTCAAGACTGCTTAAGTAGATATTAAGTCGACTACAAATTCCCAATCTTAATTGTGTCAGTATTACACGGGTCTCTTGTGGCACGATTATGTTGTTATTGTTGTAGTTGTGGCCACAAAAATATGCCCCAAAATAGTTTTTGGATAATGTTGCGAAAGTGACAGTGCTCGACCCGACTGTATAAAGACCGACTGTATAAAGACCCAACTGTGAGAACTTTTGGATTTTAGTCGCCTTATACGACGGGCTTGCCTTACCGCAGGAAAATTTTTGAACCCCTAACCCCCTGCAGGCGCAACTCTCACCACAGCCGCTTCCATGCAATGGAGTTGTGCCGTATTCTATCCTACCCAGCGTTGTCACCCTTTCTGCTATCGAACTCGGTTTAGGTTAGAAGGAAAAATTGCTCTATCCTCTGTGTCTATCTAAAGGCAGTTCACTGCCGTGAGCCTGGGATTCGTCTGGTGGCTTAGCTACAAGCCTTAAGAGACTTCCTTAAATTCTAAACAACTTTCTTAGTATGAGCGAAGTTCTCTAGGAACCCAGTGATGGGCATTTTTAGCTTTCAAAAAGTGTATTCGGCTTAAGGACTATTCCATATACAATACATACGTATGTATATTTAAAAAAAAAAAGTTTCATTTATCTTATTCAATCGACACTTACCTGCACATAACCTCATGCGTTAACAATACTCGACACATTTCCGGATTTTTATCTTGCCCTTCGTAAATAATCGCCTGGAAGAGAAGAAAAACAAAAACAAACATGAAAAATTGTGACAGACATACAACTGTGTATATACATGTACATATACATACACATAAAATAATATTTTTAAAAGTAAGTTGTCATTAACGTAATTATTTAAACATAATTGTTAACGAAAGACAAGCTAAATTACATACAACCTATGTACATATGTATGTACGTATGTATAATCGGTAGGTTATAGTAAACTAATGTCCAACTACAACTTAATTTCGTAATATGTACATATATACGTATGTATGTAGGTGTGGAAAAAGGATCAAATCGAATAATAAATGATGAAAGTTCTTACATACAAAAAAAAAAACATGTTTACACATACATATATGCATGTATACGCATACATATAATCATCAGCTATCGCTATAGCGAGTCTAGTCAATATTTATTTAACTGGTTTGTACGAAAAGAGACACACTTGTAAAGGTTTTGGGTTAAGGACTACTTGCACTTGTATATATACATACATTTTATTTGTTATACGTATATGTATGTATGTATATATATTTGTAGTGTAGTATTTGTTCTATAAATATATGCATACTCGTATTTGCTTGTTTGTTTTCTTAGTACAATAAAAAATAAGGTCAAAGTGTTTCATATTATCAGCGTAAATATATCTTCTGATACAACATGGCCGCCGCTATTGTTGTAATTTGTAAAATTTTCTTGTAAGGATAGTACTTGTGTTAGCAAAATGATAGTTTACTGTTATTTACATAATACCAAGCGATGTTTTTAAAGTGTTTGCGAGGAAAAGTATACATACATGTGTATGTATTTATATATTGGGATAAAATAAAAAAAAAAAAACGGAGAAAAACTATGACTTTTTATTATTATTAAAAAAATTTAATGTTTTTAATTTATTTTTTTATTTTTTTTTGTTAGTTTTTTTTTTTTTTAATAAAAAAAAATTCGAAAGAAAAATTACGACTTTTTATTATTATTAAAAAATTTAATGTTTTTAATTTATTTTTTTTTAATATTTTTTTTTATTAATTTTTTTTTTTAATAGAAAAAATTCGAAGAAAAACTATAATTTTTATTATTTATTGAAAAAATTTTATGTTTTTAATTAAGTTATTTTATTTTCTTACATATATTTAATACATATTTTTTACTAGTTTTTTTTTTAATTAAAAACCAAAGTCGAAGAAAAACTATAGTTTTTAATAATTTTTACGAAAAAATGTAATGTTCTTAATTTTTTAACTATATTTTGCTGTTTATTTAAATAAAGAACAAAATTCTAAAAAAAATATAATTTTTAATAATTGTAAAAAAAATTTAATGTTTTTAATTATTTTTTTTTTTACATATTTTTTTTTTTAATTAAAAACAAAATTCGAAGAAAAATTATGACTTTTAATTATTATTAAAAAAATTTAATGTTTTTAATTATTTATTTTTTTTTAAACAAAAACTTAATACATATTTTTTACTAGTTTTTTTTTTTAAATTAAAAACAAAATTCGACGAAAAACTATAATTTTTAATAATTATTAAGAAAATTCAATGTTTTAAATTAATTTATTTTTTTTAACATAAATTTAAAGCATATTTCTACTAGTTATTTTTTTTAGTTAAAAACAAAATTAAAAAAAAATATAATTTTTAATAATTATTAAGAAAATTTTATTGTTTTTAATTAATTAATTTTTTTTAACATAAATTTAACATATATTTTTTACTAGTTTTTTTTTTTTTGATTAAAAACAAAATTCGAAGAAAATCTATGATTTTTAATTATTATTAAGAAAATTTAATGGTTTTAATTTAATATTTCTTAACATTTTTTTTGCTATTTTTTTAATTAATTGAGCAAACTAAGAGCCAAAATACATATAGAATATAATGATTAAAATAAAATAAAAATAACATTAAAACAACAAAAAAATGGCAGGCGCGTTTAATTCTGATTCTTTTTTTTTTAATTTACGACCACTAAAATAACCTCAAAATCCCACTACCTTTTTTTAGGTCAATAAAATCTGTAAGGCATTTTTGTAAAGAATTAAAATATTTACATATTAAGCACTGTTCTTCGGCTATTGGGAACCTAGATCTAACTTATTCCATAAAAAAGAGCATGTCGCACGGGACATACTGCATATGAATGCATATAATCTGCAAATAGTTATAACCACTATTCTATTTCGATTTACAATAGTTCAGATTTGTACTAGCCAAAAACAATTTTGAAAATATTTTTATTTTTGAAATAATTGGAAAAAAGCCAGACATTCGCACGGGACATTTAGACGATTTAGTTATTATTCACCGACTGAAAAATAGTAATTTAATATGCCAAATTTCAAAAAATATTTTTTTTTTATAAATTTTTTGCTTTTGTAATGTATCGAAACGTTGTTTTTTAGTTTTGCATACTTTTTACTCAATTTAATTTTAGGATGGGACATTTTCATAATTTCATTTCATTTTCATTTCATTTTTCATAATTTCAAGAAATTCTCTATTCTCACACATCTGTGTAGTGCTTTTAGCGAATAACAGTTTAAGCCCAGTTTACAAAACGAAATTGATTCAACTTTAGAATTGATGAACATTTTTGGCCAAATTCTATTTCTATGACTACTTCATCATAGTCAGCTGATACCATCATATTCATCATCATTCTGCAGGCTGGAGAAATCTACCCTCCATAAGCCTTAATGCTCTAAACATGGTTAAAGAGATCTCCTCTTTAGTTTCTGCAGAGCATGCAAAATTTTCGTCCAAACTTTCAAGCTCTTCATTCATTCTCTTCAGCATTTCTACATCTTTCTTTTTTTTTTGGGTCTTCAAATGTTTTTCGCTTCCCTCTTCGACTCACGATATCTCTCCCCCGCCATGTGTGTTGCAGGTATTTCCAGTAGAACAGTTTTTTTGTATTCACTACATTACCCACATTGTACAGAACCAATTGTTTCTCTAAGGACACTTCGTGGGGAGTTTGAAATGTCGTCTTACATTTCTCTTTCAACGAGTTGTGGTCGAGTGCTCTCAGACCACTGAGTAGGAAACAGCTTAAGTAAAAACATGGGAGACTATCTGCTGTGATTGCATCTTTTCGATGTTGAGCCTTCGTGGTGTGTGTTCTTTACTAACTGTTGTGAGGCGGATGCTGAGATAAAATTGTAGTCCGAATGCATTGAGAACCCTGAATACAGGTAATCTATTCATCACAAAATGAGAGTGAAGACAGGCGTGTACCTTTATGTTTGAATTCCTTGTGCTAGAAACTGGTGCTACAGAGAATGCGATCGGACGCTGCCCATTTGCCAAGGCTCCCTCTTCGAGGCTTAATCCAGCTGCTGTTGTACCGTAAATACCTTTTCAGCGCACACTGACTTTCAAATCATTAAGCCCGATTAGGTGGGCGCTCACAGGTGCATTTCATGAATAAAACAAGCTCCAATATGTGCAGAAAACTGTTTTGAATCACTTGAACAAAAGGCTGGGTACACAAAGGAAAACCCATGATTGGAATTTCCAACTACGAATCGCTGCTGAATCGTAACAAACCCGACTCATTTCTGAAGCGTTATGAAAAGTGCAACACTTAGAGCAATTTCATATTAAAACGGCCGTGTTCGAAGGCCAAAGAGTCGGCATAAACGGTCTCCTAGTGAGTATTGACGGCCGGGAACCATCTGTGAGCTGCTCCTCTACGACCAAACTCGTAATTCGGATCTTAGCTGACAGTAATTGGACCGTTCAGAAACGCCCTGCTTTGGTCAACAGAAGGGTAATTGGGTTTCATCACGACAACGTCAGACCAGATTCGTACATTGAGGGTGACCAGAAGCGCCGAGTGCTTTGTTGGGTGGCTCTTATGCATCCATCTCATAGTCCGGAACTCGCACCAAGTGGATGTCATCTATACCTGTCTGTGCTGAATGATTTGGCTTAGTAAGAATTGGCCACAAGACAAATGATTTTAGTAATCAACAATTTCTATTCCAATTACAACATAAAAAATATAAAAATTTTACATAAAAAAAACGTTTTTCAGCTTACAAAGTATTTTACAAAGGATTCGAAAATATTTATGTAGCAATTGTACATACATATACATACATACATACATACATATAGTATAAGTTACATACGACTAATGAATGACGCTATTTATTTAGTACACACTGTAATCATATTCTCATGCATTTACATACATATGTATGTTTGTATAATAATTTTCGAACTTAGAATTGTATAAATTTTGTATGATATTTGCTTCGGTAGAAACCGCTAATTACCTACTGAACATATTACATTACCGTTAGTTATGCTAAAGCAATAATAAACAGCTCAAGGAAAATATACAAACAAACATATGTATGTAAACATGTACATATGTATAATATTTTATATAATACAAGTGTCTATAGAGCATTTATATGTTTGTTATTTGATGCATTGATAAGCGTCGCATAGAGGAGAAAGCAAAAAAAAAAAACATAAAAAAAATTGTAAAAGAAAATAGAAAACATTGTACACAAAAGGATAGAGCAAAAGGATCTGTCATTGTTCGTACATATGTACATATATATGTAAATATGCATGTACGCTCAAGTACAAGTTTATTAAGAGCGCTGTCAAAAACGATTGATAGCACAAAGGGTCACTTGCCAACTAGTTGCATAAGGCGGCGCAAAACTAGCAGAAAGGTGTGAAGGATATGTGAAAAGGACTCCTTTTTTTGTTTTTGTTTTTTTTTTTTTGTTTTGCTTTCAAGTTTTAAAATTATGCCATATGCACTAGATGTGCTACTAACAAGTAGTTATGCATGTTCAGACGCATTTATTTCGTACATATGTATGTATGTATGGATGTATGTAGGTACTCAAAAGTTAGTTGAGTGATTAGCCATAAAACCGCAAGTGTCGAATAACAGTATCACAGCGAGCGAATGGCACAATTTTCTCTGCCGCATGTAACCTTTTTCGGTTTTTTTTCAACCCTC